TCAGAACTCGATTGCTTAACCGCCTTGAACAAGACCCAACACTGACACTTAATGAGATCACCGACGAGTATCAACGCATTATCAACCTGCATCGTGACACTACTTTGGTTCAATCTGAGGGCCAGGGTGGTTCCGAAGCTCACGCTGTTCAACGTCAGGACAAATCTCCGAGATCGACAACCTGTGATCCTTCGAAAGCCAGTGCTGTTTCTTTCTCTAATAACTCCAGACCGGCTCAGAAGAAGCCCCCCTCGCCATGTTGGCACTGTGGAGCTTGGCATTATGTGACATTTTGTCCATTCAAACAGCAGCTGTGTGATCGCTGTCGAAAAGTTGGTCACAAGAGCGGATTTTGCCAATCCAATCGACCCATTAGTCGTCGAAATGCACAAACGCAGCGTCGTTTTCCTAAAAAGCAGCTTACCTCATCAAGGAGTTTAGCAGCAGTCTTCCACACCCAAACCGCCACGCGACGCAAATTTCTAACCCTCTCAATCAATGGTCAGCCAGTTCGATTGCAGTTGGATACTGCATCAGATATCACTATTCTGTCGAAAGAGACTTGGCGGACCTTGGGTCAAACCATTTTCGCAGACAGCCGTCAGTGCATGTGGAGGTCATCTTCGTCTTCATGGTGAACTTAATTGCTGTATTTCGTTCAGAAGTACAACCTTCAATGGTACGTGCTACATCACCAAACCCCCTCTCAACCTTCTGGGTTTAGATTGGTTCGAAGAGCTTGGTATTGCCAATCTTCCTATCAGCACTATCTGTAATCAAGCTCAAACTCCTGCTACTACACAACGGCATGCTGCAGACCTCCAAAAACGATTCATTGGACTCTTTCAGCCTGGTCTCGGACTTTGTTGCACAACAGAAGCTGTTTTGAAACTTCAGCCAGGAGCTACCTCAGTTATTCGTCCGAAACGTCCAGTTCCATACTCATCTTTACCTCTGGTCGACGCTGAACTTCAACGTTTGGAAACTGAAGTTGTCCTTGTACCTGTTTCTTATTCATCATGGGCTTCACCAATTGTGGTTGTAAAATAGTCTAATGGTTCCATACACATCTGTGCAGACTTCTCCACGAGACTCAATGCGGCACTACAACAGCATCATTATCCGCTGCCGACCCCAGATGACTTATCTACTATTTTAAATGGTGGAACCTACTTTGCTAAGCTAGATCTCGCGGATGCTTACCTTCAAATTCCTGTCGCTCCTGAATCGAGAGAGTTGTTGACAATCAACACTCACCGAGGACTTTTCCAGTATACCCGGTTACACTTTGATATCAAGACTGCTCCAGCGATCTCCCAGCAGATCATGGATACTATTCTAGCTTATGGCGAACTGTCATATGATTTTACAACCTCAAGTGGTGTCCGTCAAGGCTGTCCACTATCCCCATTTTTGTTTAACTTCATTATAGACCTGTTGCTGGAAATAACACTCTCATCGACTGAATTTCCAGGAATTGATCTCCTACCAGGGGGACCACTAAGCGACTTAGAATACGCAGATGACATAGTCCTGTTTGATGAAGACGCTGGCAAAATGCAGAGTCTTCTGTTGGAACTCAGTAATAATGCCAGGATGTTTGGGATGCGTTTCTCCCCATCCAAATGTAAATTGTTACTCCAGGACTGGCCTGCGTCAACACTCGAACTAAGGATAGGAAGTGAAGTAGTCGAACGCGTCGACAACTTCACTTATCTTGGAAGTCTGATCAGCCCTAATGGGTTGGTGTCTGACGAAATCTCAGCGCGGATTCGAAAAGCTCGTTTGGCTTTTGCCAACTTACGTCACCTATGGCGAAAACGAGATATCCGTCTATCAATTAAAGGACGAGTATACTGCGCACCAGTTCGCTCTGTCCTACTTTACGGCTGTGAAACATGGCCATTAAGAGTAGAAGATACTCGTAGGTTACTAGTATTTGACCACAGATGCCTTAGAAATATTGCTCGCATCTGCTGGGATAACCGGGTAAGTAATAGTGAGGTTAGACGCAGGGTATTAGGGAACGATGGTAAATCAGTTGATGAGGTGATGAATCTTCATCGACTGAGATGGTTGGGCCATGTGTTACGTATGCCTGAACACCGATTACCACGACGCGCTATGATGACTAGTATTGGGGACGGTTGGAAGAGAGTTAGGGGCGGCCAAACCAAAACATGGCATCAGTGTTTGAAGTCACTAACTTCTAGCCTGAGCCATGTTGGCAGATGCAGACTACCTGGTTGGGGTCCGCGTGACTATCGTAACCAATGGTTGGAGACTCTAGGTGACATGGCTCAGAATCGGTCACAATGGCGTAGGTGTATACACTCTTTATCTTCCCTTAAACCTTGAGACTAAAATTGCTTCATATCTCTCTTCCTTCCTGTACTATATCCTTATATACAACCTATAATTTATATACTACTACCAACACTAGATTAACTACTATGAATCCGGTGTTCCTCTTGTTGTGCTAACGAGGTATGGCAACTTGGACCGATGCATATATGTGCCTGGTCCTACGTTGTAGCTGACCTGACCTGACTATTCTAGCAGATGTTCCTGGTGTTGCTACATACCTTGACGACGTCCTCATTGTCGGTTCAACTGCTAATGAACTGCATTCCAGAACATATTCAGTTCTACAACACCTCCAGGATAATGGTTTTTGACTCCGTCCAGAGAAATGTCAATTCTTCTGGGGTTTATCTTCGATGCTTCCGGACGACATCCTGATCCTCAAAATACTCATGCAATCCAACAAATGCCTGCTCCCACTGATGTCTCATCACTGCGATCATTTTTGGGGATGGTCAGCTACTATTCAGCATTTCTTTCATAACTGCATGATGTACGATATCCATTAAATCATCTGCTAGAAAAGAATGCTACTTGGGATTGGACCACGCAATGTGAGTCAGCTTTTTCAAAACTTAAAGCCATGTTAAGCCCCAAGCTACTGCTAACCCACTACAATCCGAAACTACCCATCGTGGTTGCTGCTGACGCTTCAACACATGGACTGGGTGCCGTGCTCCTGCATGTCTTTCCCGACGGTTCAGAGAAAGCGGTGATGCATGCTTCGAGAACACTAACGCCTGCTGAAAAACGTTACGGTCAGATCGAGAAAGAAGCCTTAGCCCTAATTTTTGCTGTCCGGCGATTCCACAAATTCATTTACGGGCGCCGTTTCACTTTGCTCACAGACCATAAGCCGTTGTTATTAATCTTTGGATCAAAGAAAGACATTCCTGTTCATTCTGATAATCGTCTTCAACGTTGGGCGTTGGCGTTACTGGGCTACGACTTTGACATCCAGTATCGACGTTCCGAAGATTTCGGTCAAGCGGATACACTGTCTAGACTTATCAGTAACCACTCTACCACTGATGAGGACACACTCATAGCCACAATATCAACGGAAGATGATTCCGGTGCTACACTATTTGCGAATGCCGTTCGAGCTATGCCTGTTACAGCTGAAGATGTTCGGGAAGGTACCAGAGACGACCCGATTATTCAAGAAGCAATCACCTATGTTCAGAGCCGATGGCCAGTTAAGCAGTCCAGTGGTGAGATGATACATCTAGCGAATCGTCGCAGCGCCCTTTGTGTTGTCAACGACTGTCTGACGTTTGGTGATCGTGTAGTAATTCCAACAACCCTACGTGCCAAGGTCCTACGCCAATTTCACTCTGGACATCCAGGGATAAACTGTAAGAAATCTATCGCTCGGAGCTACGCATATTGGCCGAACATAGACAAGCAAATTGTCGACTTCGTCAAAACATGTTCATATTGTCAAACAGCTGCGAAACATTCCCATAAGTTGCCACCGGTACCCCGGCCCAAGTCAGAAAAACCTTAGCCGCTAGTGCACATTGATTTTGCCGGACCCCTAGATGGTGCCACATATCTGATACTGGTTGACTCCTTCTCCAAATGGCCGGAGATATTGCCGATTGCAACACCCTCTACAACTCGAACCATCCAGCTCCTGAATCAGATCTTCGCTCAGCATGGTCTTCCAGAAACAATAGTAACAGACAATGACTCGCAGTTCACATCCAGCCAATTTCGAGAATTTTGCTTGCGAAACTCGATCAACCACGTCCGTTCTCCGCCCTACCACCAGCAATCTAATGGACAAGCTGGAAGGTTCGTTGATACACTCAAACCAGCCATGCTTAAAGCAAGAGGGGAGGGGACCACACACGATATCATAGAACGATTTCTAGTTGTGTACCGGACGACTCCACATGACTTATTACCAAACTTCAAATCCCATGCGGAGGTGCTTATGGGACGGAAGCTACAAACAGTTCATAGTGCAATGACACCCAGGCGATTAGCCCAGCAGAGTACTCAAATGCAGAATACTCGAATTCCCTACGAAATTGGCGCGAAAGTGTATGCGCGGGACTACAGACACGGATATGATAGATGGATAGAGGGTGAAGTCACAGAGAGACAGGGGAACGTCATGTATGATGTCAGAGTGAACCAAGAAATCTGGACCAGGCACTATAATCAACTACGGTCAAGAGAAGCCAAAGAAAAAGGTGAAATTACGAAACGCGTTCCACTCGGCTTACTGTTGGATACTTCTCAGCTTCCGCCAATAACTAAAACAGAGAACTGAGTCATCTACTCAAGCAGAACATCCTTCTGGTTCTCGGTCGTTACCTCGAAGGTGGTCGGGGCGCAAACGAAGAAAACCAAAGAAATTTCAGGTAAACCCTCAGTTGCGTCGTTATTAACTTTTTCCAAGGGGAGGTGTTAGGGTATTCACAAGAATATAACAAAAATTATATTGAGTCTAATTCCATCTCGAACGTAAAGTGGTATGCTTTCAGACTTTTGTTGGTGTGCATGAAACTTCACGTTTAGAATAATTTGTAAGTTGTTGATGATGGTTCTCCAAGTTTTGGCTCCGCACAACAGAACTGTCATGACGTTCGCATTAAAGATTCTGATTTTGATGTTGGTTGACAGTTGTTTTGAGTTCCATATGTTCCTCAATTGTAAAATGCTTCATAATACCATGCTAATAACTTCTCCAAACACATTTAACCGGTTACCAGCTAGTATACCATACTATCAGGTATATATCTCCCCATAAACAAAAGATAGTGTTGGATACCAAGACCTAGTATAAGAGTAATATCATGTGAAGTTACTGTTAACATTCACTTCGTTACGTGACCTCCATCAAAATCACACTTCGTACCAATAAAGTAAGATATTTGTAGTCTCTTGACGTAGTGTGAGCCATTTCTTCAAAGTACATAAATACGTCAGAAATCCAAATTTCTATCAGTTACGATATTACAAATATAATATTTCGTTACTAACTTTACACCCAATGCTCAAATCACTTGAAATTTTTGAAGTTAAACCTTGGTATCGACACATGTAATACTTAATGCTGTAAAATGGTTAGATTGGAAAGTCGAACTTTTCAACCACGAAGTTTTGCTAGATTGATTCATTTGTGTATATTACGATGACGTTTTATTCCTTCTTTATATGCACGATAAGACATTAATGTCATATCTGGAAGAGTAGTAATGACATAAAAAATTGCCACCACTAAACATATTAGCCTAAGCAATATTCAAATATAGGTTGTTTATCCTGCTTTAACGATTCGACATTTTCATGGAATATATTCGAGATCTCAGATCGTTTCCAATAACAAAATTTATGTTTTCGATTTTACTTGAACATGGATATTTAAAATAAATGTATTAAACTAATCATAAGAATAATTCTGAAGATTAAGTAGAAATTTTGATCGGAATTCAACAGTGCACCATTTACAGCGTTGATTAATTCATTGTTGATTTATGGCAAACTTCGAGGCGTGAGATCAATCAAATTTAAAATATCGAAGAATATTCAATAATAAAATCAGATTGTGATTATGTTGCCGTAATTTTGGATACAAATTTCTCTATGGGCTAAGATTGACTAAAGAGCCATTGATAACAGGTTGGGGCAATAAATATCAATCTTGTCTAAAAGTGAAACTATTCACGAATACGACCCCACATGAAATTCAAAACAAGTTTTCCCTTTCTTGTGGCAAGGTAGAAACGATCGTAGATACTTGGTCTGTATTAGAAATTGACAAAGTTAGCCACAGTCACTCTACATCGCTAACTGACTGATTTCGGAAGTGCGAACAATATATATATTGAATGGTGAATTCTAAATCCACATATACAAAGTTTAATTACAATCAGTTATTTATTTGACGCAATATGCATCATTACATTATGTACATGATATAATTTGTGATTTAAATTATATTTTAAATATACATATACACATTCACATTATTAATTTCGTAGTTTCCAACCAGTTTATTTTTCGTTTATTTTTATATTATTCAATTTTTTTCTTTGTTTTTTCTTAGAAAGCATTTTATCATTTTTTGACATCTTTCTACTATTTCTATCATCAGTGTTGCTATGAGTTAATTTGACTGGGTGTTTTTCCTTCATCTTTTCCTTCTTCACTGCTTTTTTTTCTCGTTTGTCCTTTTTCTTCGGATCAGTATTGAATATTTTATTAAATCTATCATGACGATGATGATGAAATTTAGTCTGTTGATAGCCTTCTTTATTTTTAATTTTCTTCACTTTATACTCCATAATTCTTATTTGTCTCCCACGTATACTCAGTGTATTCGATGAACGTATAGCTAATGGTATAATCGATGGATCGTTGTATGTTACATAACCGAATCCACGTACAGCACCAGTTTGAGAATCACGTATTAGACGAACACTTTCAATTGAGCCTAATGTAGACAAAGTACTGTAAATCTATGATATAAAAATGTAGAACATCAAAGGGAGAAAGATGATAGTTTATATGGATTTACATGTTAAAGTAGAAATGTTTCTACAAAATCAGCTCTAATATTGGCTATTTCATGTTACCTGATTGAGTTGTGGTCATGTACATTGGGTTTCGCACAATACTCTTCTTAAAAATCTACTCATTTTAAGATTTGAGATCTGCTTACTTTAATCAATACTATATGTTTAGTTATAGTATATAATTCTCAATACAAAATGTGCATTATCTTAAAAAATTCCTATCTTATTCTCATTTAAAATGTGAACATATATAATGATTAGCTGCATTCTATTTGCATCGATATGATTGTTTGACATATTTCTAGCATATTATATGATGTATGAATTCTAGAGCGAAGGTCTCCGAGTTTCCAAATGATGAACAAGGAAAAAGATATACCAACCAGAATGATGCTAATGATGGAAGCTTTCAGTATTAAGCATTGGTAAAGATTGAGGGTTTTTTATTAAAGCACTGAACTACATTATACGGTTATTAAACATACTTGTTACTTCAAGTAAATTTGAAACAGAGACATTTATTACGATATTTGCAGTTGGAAAAAAGGTCGTCCGGATTTTTGAACGGGTAGAAAACAAATAGTATTGTAGTGAATGAGAACACAGGTGAGGACAACCAACTATTTTGCTTGATAAAATCGAAAAACCATATTCTGATACCTCATTTACGAAATGTTCATTAATTGTCTCAGGCTTCAGCGTTCCTGAATTTCCACACTATTGCTTTCTGCTTCTGTTCTTTCCTACTCATTTTTCTCAATCTTCTGCTGCCAGATATTCTATTCCTGACTCACGATATATACTACTTATGTCGATATAATTAGCACACACCTCAATATTATGTCTTTCAAGGCTTTTAGTTAGTGAATGGTCACAATTAACCAATCTCATCAATTTTTAAATCATTCCGCTTAGTTTTTCACCAAATCTTTGGTCGGTTATTCCACGATAGAAATTATTTTACACATCAAGTTAGAAAACTTAACAAACTAGAATAATGATGCTTTACGATTTGTCGAATTGCGATTGGACCGTTCAAACACATGAGGATACTCAATCATGAGTGTAAAAACTCCATTTTTAATTCATTTTAGACAAATGTGACAAGTCGCAGAAAACAAATCAGAAGTCTCAAGAAAATAAACAAAAATCAAACAAATTTACTACATAAATAATTCATACATTAAAGAGAACCGTAAACTAACCTCTTCTTCAGTACAATCGAATGGCAGATTGCCCACAAAAACACAATTATCTAGTTTACAATGTGTTTTGTCATTATCAGTTGCTTTGTCAACTCGAATATGATATACGTCATTAGTATTATTATTACTACTACTATTATTAGTAGATTCAGTTTTATCATCAATTACATTTATTGATTCTTCCGGATTCGCAATAAAACCATTCGAATTTAAACAGCATCCATTTAACGAAAGTACAATCGGTATACCGATCTTTGTTGTTAGAACAACATAACCCATACGAAATTTGGAAACACCTGATTTTTATCAATATACGTGAGAAAAAAATTACTTTGATTATTAAGATCACTAAGATAATATAATTTTCTTAAATGAACAATAACAAGTATACACTTCATTTAACTCACTATATGATTGTTTTAGTTATTTATTTAAACACATAAATATTGGTATAAGGAAGAACCAGATATATATGCGCCTCACAAATCTCATTCGATTTGTGTGAGGGCTGTGATACTGTCCAGATGCCCAAACTGAAGCAGATGGTTTTCTTAGGGAGCCACACACCGAGCCTTTGACCTAAAGGTCTGATCCACAAGGCAGTGGAGCATCGTGAGGAGATGCAGTTTCATGATAGCCGGTGACCAACGATTGATTCATACGCCATTTGTTTCCTTAGGATACTGGAGCCCATGTGCACCATTGGTTTGGAATGAGGGTTTTCCAACTCCCCTGGATGGACTTGCCGTGTATTTAGCCTTGGAATAAAAAAATTTTTAAAGTCTAAGAGTCACCCAATATACTGAATTTAGTGCTTTTTCTTGATATCGTTTATATCAGCTCTCTATAGTATTTTATTATCCCGCATACTAGTTGTTAATTACAAGCGACTCACGTTAAATATATGTCATTCAAGATTATTTCCAGATTATCATCAGTGATTTTTGGGATAATCTAATTATTTGTGATTGATAAATCGGTCAACGTTTTTAATTGTTATTTTAAAAGTTATAACCTCTTTGACTCAAGTGATTCAAAATCCTAGAGAAACTGAATATTTTTCAAACTGTGACAAGAGAGAACGTTATTAGATATTAAACTTAACATCGTTGTTTAGAGGATAAATGTCTCTTCGCAACTGACTGATCATTGGGTAGTGATTAATGTTATGTATGCCAGGTCCTTCTTAGTGCAGATCGAATTCTATCGATCAACTTGAAATGTAGTCACAAGTCCAAGTGACTCGATATTGCGTGATGAGATAGTGATCCAGGGATTCCTGTAGATTACCTCCAACCGCAGTCTTATCACAAAATCTCTTTTCTAGAGTATGAATTGTACTCGTCTAACTGCTCAATGGGAATTTAATCAAAATATTTTTAATTACTAAAATTTATGGAGTTTAACTGCTGAGATCTGAAACAATGATTCACATGGCGGAGTTGTTTTTATCAGAACGGTTACTCAGAGTCTGCAATTTTATGTTGTTATATATAAAGGAGCTTTTACAGCTATTAAAACAACAAAGAGCATGTTGCTTATTTTAATGACAATTAGTAAATATTAACTGGTATACACAGTTAGGGAGGATAAGAAACGAATTTATCTAATTCGCATTGTTGCTATAGACATTTATGCTTGTCTAGTATGATTTAAAAAGTTCTAGTTTGTGCAGCTGATATATATATATATATATATATATATATATATCCTACTTACTCTTTGAAAATCCTGATGGTAATATCAGAATACTGTGTGAACAGAGGTACATGAGACTCGAGAACACGTTGTTAGACCACCTCCAAGTAACTAGACGGCTTTATTGGAATAGTTGGACCTTGATGACCAAACATTCCATCTAATCTTATCCCAGCTAAATCAACACAATAGACAAACTCAACTACTAGAATATTGTACGGCCCATGACCAGGTCTGTAAACATTATGGCAAGTCCGAAAATTAACTAAATGTAGTGGGACTCATATGCCAAGTAGTTTGCTTTACGTAGTCAGATTTGAGCTAAATAAAGTCTAGTAATACTACTTGGCTACCTTTAAATTGATTTTTGAAATTTGATACCTTTAACTGCTTGGCCACCATAAAAAAATTCATAAACCTAGAAAAATTCTGTGTTAGGAACATATACCTGAAAATTCACCCGTGATAGCAGCACGTTTTCGTGCTAATCTACTAGTACCGCCAGTAACTGGAATGACACCACGAAATCTGACAGATTCTACACAGCAATCTGAAGATGAAATTTTATTATTTTTGAGCACATTATTAAATAGAGCTTCTATTCTTTTTTTGGTAATATTCAATGGTAAATTGCCAACGAATATAGTTCTTGATAAACGTTCATTAGACAGTCGTCTATGTTGACGTTGGAGACTTTAGAAAGACAAAAAGAAAAATAAATAATTTTTTTAAAAAGCAGTGTGTTCTTTCCTAGTGTTTCATTTAAAATCACTCAAACTATGATTACAATTGACATAAATGCACTTCAAACCGTGAGGGACAAAACCTTTTGCTCTGCACCATGACTGAAAAAACCTATGCTCCATGTCCTTGGTTTTTTAATTTGGACATTAGCTCTTATGTTAAATCCATTAGCTATTCATGGCGTTTACTAAGCGAGAGTTTCACTCTGTACATAAAACACAGAGGTATATATGTATTTTCGAAAAGTTTCAGCACACAAATCTAACTGAAATTCTTAACAATCTTATTAAAAGCAACTGAATTATTGGTAAAATATTTCAAACAATAGACATGTAACATTGCAGAATAACTAACCTTCGGCTTTGTGAGTTGTCTACTTCAATAGAACTTTCATCACTCGTGAAATATTCTTCGTCATTAGAAAGTTGAAATTCGTGATACCACTTTCCATTTTCAATCTTGCGCGGAGCATTCTGTTTGCACTTTTTGGGTTTCGATGAGTTACACGATACTTTTATATCATCTAGTAACTTACTTTCATTAGATGTATTGGATACTGTTTGGTCAGAAGAAATACCTTGGCTTTGAATTCCTAACGAGGAAACGTTCTCTTTTATTTTCCTTCTTTTTGACTTATTTACAGCTTTATTTTTTCTGAGTTTGGCTTCCTTAGATCTTTCTGGTGCTTTCTGGTCATCAGAGGTGCTCTTAGGATGAACATCCAACACAGAACAAAGGTTCTGTATTTTGTCTTCCAAAGAAGTTTCTTTGTTATTTGTTTTGAGCCGAAGTGTTTCAACTCCATAACAAGCAATTTTGTTATTTAAATCACATTCGTTCCGACCATTAGACGTAGAATTATGTTTCTTCTTTTTTAGCGGTGATTCTGATGCACTTTCCTTTTTCATTTCAGACTTGAGCCCAGTACTATCAAGAATAGTATTATCACTCCGAGCATCAGAGAGACTGTGCTTCCGTTTAAGCTTTTTATCTTTTTTAGACCCTTTTACAATAACTGCTTCATTTTTTTGTTTGATTTTATTAGATGACAGAGATGCGTTGTGGTCATTGTGATTGACAGGTTTGACTTCATTATGGTGCTTATGTGCATCTATTTTCGGTGTTTTAGGTGATTTTCCTGTTTCAAATGTGGAGTCATTAGGATTATCTTTAAGACTTGTGTCTTCAATTTTTTTGGCTTTTTGTTTACCCATCTTTAGAGTTGTTTGCAGGATCGTCGTAATAGCTTTGACTGTCTAAAACCACAAGTGGAAAATAAATGATTCACTTATTTTGATCAGAACTGTAAAAAACGAATCACTGACCAGTTACGTTGCTAGTACCGAATACTAAGTAAATAGGGACGGAAAACTTACTAACTTGCTTTGAATAAAAGTTTAAATTAAAACCAAAAATTAAATATATTAGAAAACACCAGCGCTAAGAACCTACTTATGAACTCCTAAAGCAGGTGAATGGAAAAGTTAGTGTGACTTTTCGAAAGAATTTCTGGTAGTAACGTAGGTAAGGAATTGGCGTGAATGACCTCACTTTGAAGCTGCCATAAATATGCAGCAGAACGACATCCATCTTTCTAATAATAGTTGCTTGATAGTAACAGTTAGGATGACTAGATTCTTGGACTAGTGTATTTTTATCGGTGATTAACTGCTCCTGACTATTACGAACAGATTTTTTGCTGACAATTACACTAAATCAATTTACATGGACCAGTTTTGGGTTTAAAAAAACATTTGTATATTTGTGCAGCTTTGGAATGGCAATCAGAGTGTACTTAATACAGAAAGTTATCAATGGAAACTTAGTTTAAGCTGGTATTAAAAAACTAAGCACCCTCAGATATTTTGTGCAAACCATATTCCCATAGAAGTAAAGTGACACTTGAATTATTGGATTGAGATAATATGCCAACATCTGCTGATAAGAGGGACACTAAGCTAAAAATCCACTACATGAACTTTTGTAACCATCCAACAAAGATATATGGATAAAATTAGAATCTAAAACGGAGTTATCATTTTTAGTGAATACTATTTGGTAGTTGTAACGATTGGAGTAGCCTGATTAGTATGTTTAAACACGACTTTGTACCTCGGGACTATTTATATTATTGGGAATGAGTGTGATCCCATTTGCCAAGCCACTAGTAACATTCACAAAGGCTCCCAGGCAAACGGTCCTCCTGACTATTTTCACTGGTCAACCATAGCAAGAGTCCAGACAAGTTCCCACTATTCTTTATAAGTACTTTGAATGGACGTTGATTACCAGTAAATGGTGATTTGGGTGAGCCTACTTACCACCGAATAGTAGAACTTGTAGTGGATTATCTTTGACACAATTCTTAAGGCTTTATATATCAATTTTCTCGATAACCGTTCTTGAATAAATCGCGACGGTGTACAAGTTACAATAGACAATACGAAGCGTCAACTACAATTTGTCATTGAACAGAGAATATCACCAAGCCACAAGTACACAAAGCGGTTCTGAGCAGAAACGCTAGCGCTAGCGAGCAAGTAAATACAAAAGTGAATTGGGAGTTGAATGAATTAATAAGGTTTAAGTGCAAATATGTAGGAAGACGAATGATTCATCGAGAGATTTAAGCAACTGATATTTTAGCTAGCAAGAGCGATGTGAGTAGGCTGTAACATGTGGTTAAGCATACAGATATAGTAATAAAACAAACATATACAAATTGTAACTTTGGATGGCACTGTTAGTTAAAAAAGTTAGTTTGAAGGGCTTGACGAAATTAGATGCAAACATACGTAAGTGTAGATCTTCTGTCGGGGTGATGCATCTAGCACAACGCAATCAATGCGGAGTACTGTTTCTAGGTCCTATTTAGGAAGCTAATAAGTTACACATTGCTTTAAAAAGAAATATATGAAGTAAATAAGTGCAAAGGCAAACACTTTTGTTCTACCACTTTATGGGATGAAATCGAAGAACGAACACCATGAACAGCAATGTCTCAGATTTTGTAAAAAGCAAAGTATTTTGAGCGTCTACATCCGAAGAGAAGAGATTGCTTTGTCATACAAAAATTTGTTTCTGATTTTATAGACGAGCCTTGGATCGCTTGGCTCGAGTTATGAGGGATTAGAGAACTTGTTTTTAAGGAGTTACCAGTAAAGTATATAACAGGAAATTAGATTTAACTGGTCTTACTTTATTTAGACAACCCATATATTTCACAAATTTTGATAGCACTTATATCAGAAAGGTTTTGAAAATTGTAAGCACCATAAATTACCAAAAAAGGGCACTAGATGACGAACCGGATCTTTACATCCCAGTTCATTAACCTACTGTAAAGTCGACTTCTGATCTCCAGGCCTTTACAACTAGTTTAGCCAGAGAAACTTTAACGATACTTTTGTTGTGGCAAAAACTTCGAATTCTATTACGTGTAGGTCTTTTATAGTGACCATGGGCTTCCCGAAATATATATATATATATAAATACGGTTACGTATAAATTCATTTACGCTGTAATCACAATGAAGTAGCATAAAGAAACCTCACCCCATAAAGTATACAAAAGACTTAACCCCCGTCCCACTTAAGCCTCGGAAACTGCTTGTGTCCGCGACACTCGTGTGGAGTTGACTGAGCATTTGAAGGTCAAGGAGCTGTGTGACCAATGTTGCGTTGGTAAAGACAACCTATAAACTTCAGTGCTGTAAACCCATTACAAAGTATCCGTTATCTAATTGTTTTAATCTCAAGTCTGTGTTATTGCTAACTGTTGTCAAGTACTTTTGTTTTCAAACTCGATTGCATCTTAGGTGCTCGCAAAGTCATCTGCTCACTTTTTCTCCTGTCCAACTTCCAAACTTTGCTAGAGAGTATCAAATCTGCGAAATACTAGTTCGTGTATTATGTCTGACACTACTTATTATACTTTTCCTTGAGGTTTGAGCAGCAGTAGTAGTGAAATGTCTTGAAAACCGAGATGAAGCAGTAAAGTGGCTGATAATGAGAAATCTGAGGAAGGACTAATCTTCTCCAGTATTAACAGGACTTTCTAATAAACTGTTCTACGTAGATGTTGTAGCTGCAAATAAATCCCCAAAATCAATAGCTCTGTAAGTGTTCGATATTGGATGCTGACCACATTAGCTTTAGTGGACTCATTTAGCTCTACCGGTCAAATTGAAGTAGTTAAAAGTCATTCAGTGATACGTTGTTATAATAAAAATATTATAACTAGAAGGTAATTATGTACTTTATTATTTTACCTAGACATTGCGTTTCTAATTTACCTCTACTGAGTGGTGAAGGGTTTTCTGTTTAAAAAGACATGGTGCGAGCCTCATGTGCTTACTGTGTTGTGTAATAAACTGTACGACTGTAGTGGCATTGGGCTCTAACCACACATTCCTCAAAGCTGTACACAAGACAACCGGGGAAACAGATATTCAGCATTTAGCGCGAAGAAAATCCCAACGATGGAGAAGGCGGAAAGAATGAATTCAATTAACTGAAGTACATGGAATGGCATAGCTCGGCCTTGCAGGCGTGGTTACTCTTGTGTGTTGTCTTACCTCTTTTATCCATATCAAATATATTGTTCTATTTCCAGTCTGAATGTGTTCTCCACCCTATATTGGGCATTGTTACTATACGATGCGCCATTGTAGACAATGATGTGACTTCCACGTAGGATCTGATGGATTGAACAGTTACATCATGACATATCTACAATTTTAGGATTAGGTTTATTTTAAGAGCAGCACTAATAATGAATTAGGCCATAATTCCATACGACCACAATCTTAGATTGTCTTGATTTCATCACTCAACGAAAAGTGAATGAAAGTTTGGCAATTGTTGGGTTCCTGCTCAGCATGAAAATTGTTTATATGCCCAATTACAGACCAGCCTCCTCACAATTTGCCGTGAACTATTTCTTCTGAAATAGGAATAAAATTTTTTACTTTATATTCTTAACGCTGTATTTGTTTTTCCTCTGTTTTTAGTTCGTTAAGATATTTGATATCAATTGATCGAATGGAATTCATCACTATACCTCCTTTAAGAGAAAACCTGAAGTATTCTTGAGAATTAAGGATAATATCTTACTATGAGTTACCAATTTCTTTTTCCTCTCCTGTCGGACAATATACCTAGGTTCCTGCCTGGAGGTATTGGTGATCCACTGCTACTAAACACGGAAGCCCATTAAGCGAAAGCTTCTATTCTGTCCACAACCGCTTAAATCTTTTGAACTTCCTTGACTAGCGTAACAGCAGCCTCTTCATCGGTAGACTTCAACATACACAGAGGAAAAAGCAACATCCTCAAATACTACAAAGAGAACATCACTCAAATCACAATTGATGGGGGAACTCTGGAAGGTGTGAAATCTTTTACGTATCTGGGAAGCATCATCGATGAACAAGGAAGAACGGATGCAGACGTAAAGGTGAGGATTGGCAAAGCCAGGACAGTATCCCTACAATTGAAGAACATATGGAACCCAAAACAACTGTCAACCCACATCAAAATCAGAATCTTCAATGAAAACGTCAAGACAGTTCTGTTGTGTGAAGCCGAAACTGGGAGAACTACCACAACCATCATCAACAACTTACAAGTAATTTAAATGGTCTACACAAGAAACTCGATGTCTGTTAGCATACCGTGGAAGACAACAAACCAGCTAAAGAGGGATTTAGAAAAGACGCAGGAGGTGGATAGAACATACGTTGCAGAAATCACCAAACAGCATTAGGAGGCAAGGGTAACTTGGAATCCTGACAGGAAACGGAAAGGTGGCTGACCAAAGAACTCATTGTGTCAAGAATTAGAGGGAGATATCGAAACAATGGACAGTAGGTACGGTCTTGGTTATGAAATACTGACACCCAGAAATGATTGTGATGATTCTGAGTTGTGACCCACTCAATTGGAGGGCTACTCCTCGACGAGCAATAAGAAATTTGAGAGATTTCGATGCCGGGACCTTCTAACCGAGCGCTCTCATGTGGTTAGATAGGGAATTCTGAGAACTGATCTAGAGTTCCTCTTCTCACAACCGTAATCCTTCATAAGATATGAGGTAATGAACAGTCAAACAATTCAAAAACTTATTGAAGGGGGGAGAGAAGTTGATAGGCCAGCATTACAGTTCTTACATCATCCTCAAGTCCTGGCCAGCGACAACACTGTCAGTCAAGAAATCCAGGCTCTCGTTATTAACTCTAAACACTCTAAATTTGAAGGACCTGAACACGTCATTATGTCATAATGCAAATAAAATTATGAAGAAAACTGTGAATTATGAACGAACTGCTTGGGACGAACTACATGCAAAGTGACTAGCCATCAAGAAACCTAGTCATAAAAGACATAAAGGTCTGACAGATACCGTTCCCAAAATTCAAGCAGATCGTTAAAAACGGGGCGGCTCATCACAGTTAAAAGGTTTATAATATTTGAGGACGATCTACTCAGCCTTATCGATGAAGTTAGAAGTCTGGTTTCCAATCAACTGTACTCAGTTAACCGTGAGACTGACTTAAACAGGCACCCAGTAGCTGGAGTGTCCATTAATCTATCCTCAGATGTCATCGTCAACATAATTTAATAAATAAATATCAGCTATCTATTAGGGTTGATAAGGTTAATAGCGATGTAATGCATCGTGATCATAACCTCTGATCATCTTACAGAATATATTTAAAGCTTCGAGACTAGGCGAGTAAATTGCTTAATGAATATGAATACTTATTCAGGTGTTCTTCTTTAAAAACGCACCAGTAGAAGGATATCCTTCTCAAGATAAGAGTAAATAATTTCCGATCTTAAGTAATTCTCACTAACTGGAGTATTCTGACAGTGAGCGGCGGTCCCATTATTAAACAGTGTGATACCCAAGTAATTTTCTTGGACAGAGAGCCTGATACTGGAATTATCTAAAAACTAAGAACTGGATACCACTGTTCACTGTCAGAATTCTGCATTTAGTGGTGGTCAGGAGCAGAATATTATATTGGTTCGGTAGTCCGTCTTATACAAATATTCATAGAAAGACAAGGCATCTCTTCAAATATTGGGAGGTTGTGTTGATGGAAAAGTTTCAGAGCTTAGATAATCAGTATATCGTCAATCAACAATAACAAAAGCTGTCCATGTAGCGAGATTTTTTTCATACGTGCGTCTTTGACAGGAAATTTTATGTTCATCGTTTTCTCTGCCTGTTTGCAGTTATTGTATGATCGGATTGTTTGGACACTGTGAAGCTAATCAAGGCATCAAATGCATGTTGATTTAATGGCCGTTTTGCCTATATTTTAATCAGCCTTCTTTTTTGATGGCCACCAGGTTGCATTTCTGTTTGTTGATCGATACTGTGGTAAATGATTGCTCATATTCAATTTCATTAAGAAAGTAACATATTCCCTGCTTGTCGAAAACGTTTATCGTCTCGACTGGAAGTAATTGGGTGCGTGCTATTGAAAAAGGAAGACGGTATTTTTCCTACTAGAGTTAATTTTATGCTTCTGATCATCTATTACCCATCGAAACTTCTGTTTTCACTCTGATGAAATCTACTTCAGTTACAGTAATCGGCAAGATTATCGTTTATTTCGAAAGTAACTTAGCAACTGTGCTTTTTTAAAACTTCCGTTTTTCAACTTATTACACTTTATTTGCAATAGTTTACGGTTTCTCATTCTCAATCTTTATATGATTTCCGCGTCCGGTTCATTTATAAACCTCTGACTGGTAACTGGACATCACACAAAACAATTGCCAACGCCTGGGTTGTAAATGCCTTATGGAAAATGGCACTCAGTATGATTAGTACAGAGCATGGTACCAAAACATTTACATGAATCTAACACCTGCGGCTTCTAAAGGGTTTAGCAAAAATAATTGAGTGTGGTTATGTCAGCAGTGCAGCTCGAAGACAAACAGTATGCTATCCGTAGCCACTGGACTAGTGAGCGCTGCTAAAAGTGGTATGAGCATGCGTTGTTGAGAAGTACCAAATGGAACCGACTCTTTCAGAAAATAGATCAACGAGATGTTGTTCTAAATAAGCTCATAATCGGTTGACGTACTGTGGTATTTGTTTGAACTGACGATTTCTTCGATTGCCCATTTGTTACGAATTCTAAATATAATACGTTCATTTGTGCGCATTTAGTTTTGCCTGCGTTAAATTGCACTATTTATGGAATTTTTAGTTAACACATTGTTTCCAGTACTTTTATTTACCATACTAACATGGGTCAAATATAGAAGGTCTGATTTCAAGGCCGTTATTAGCAGTGAATTCTGAGGAACTAAGATTTCCTTTGTCTGAAACCAGGATCGTACTCAGCAAGTGATTAAGGTCGGACGTGAACACTGTCACAGAAACGTGACTGACGCGGTCTTTAGACAGTACGGAGGTTTATTTTGATAGTTTTGCACTAGCAAGAGGCGACAGAAGCATAAAACAGGGGCGAAATCTCTATTCATTAGAAATACTACCCCACTTACTGTTATCGATAACACATTCCATGAAAGTGGAACGTGAGAGTTAATTAGTTGCCGCTCGAAATGCTAAGGAAAGGAGCTGCTAATTGACTTGACTTATCACAGTCTGAACTGTGGAGTAAATGGGGTCATTCTAGACAGTCTCAACACATGGTCATCAAGCGATCGATGTTCCACCTTGAGATATTGTGATGTCAGAAAATTTATTCGAACAGAAACTAGTTGGTGCGGTCATCATATGTGCCCCCGTGCAACACGTGAAAGAAGCAACTAGGTACGATCCGGACTTAGAACCATCCTTACTAGGTTTTATATTGGTCCATTAT